ATCTTTAGTCAATCCTGTCAAGTCAGGGCAGGTTCAGTACGTTCAGTGTCGTCTCCAGAGGGCATAAAATGAGACAACCCCCAGATTCATAAACCCTGGTTGATTGATTTGAAACAGTGAACACTTTCTGATAAAATTTCAAAACAAACTCCGCATTGTAATGAATTCATGGGAATTCATGGTTGAACTGCTCAAGGCCTGAATGCTTGATGCAAAACATTTGATGCTTCCACCACCAAAGATTATGTAATTACACAATAACATATTATATTATATTATATTATATTATATTAACATATTATATTATATTATATTATATTACATTACGGTAACTACATTTAAATATACGGATTATTAAATATATGAACAGGTATTTTAGACTACCTCCGGGAAGGTTTTCCTTGGCCCGCTCAGCCATGTAAACATACGGAATCCGATTCGTTTAAACATACTGCAACTACATTTAAACATACGAACTGGTATTTCATTGTCATACTACCTCCAGGGCCTCGCGGTCTGGCCCGCCCTCCACATATTTAAATGTCGTTACCGTATATTATATTATTCCCGAGAGCGTCTGAGCGCAGGGTTCTTCCAATAGTGGGGGTCTGTAAAACATCTTCTCATCTTCACATCTTCTCATCTTCACATCTTCTCATCTTCACATCTTCTCATCTTCACATCTTCTTATCTTCACATCCTCTCATCTTCACATCCGCTCATCTTCACATCTTCTCATCTTCACATCTTCTCATCTTCACATCCTCTCATCTTCACATCTTCTCATCTTCACATCTTCTCATCTTCACATCTTCTCATCTTCGCATCTTCACATCTTCTCATCTTCACATATTCTCATCTTCACATCTTCTCATCCTCCCATCTTCTCCTCATCTTCTCATCTTCTCACATGTTCTCACATGTTCTCACATCTTCTCACATCTTCTCATCTTTACATCTTCTCATCTCACACCTTCTCCTCTTGCCCTCTTGCCCTCTTGCCCTCTCCTTTTCTTTCTATTTCTTTCTTGAAGGCGGGAGCAGGGGCAGTGGCAAAGAGACGGCACGAAACGCAACCCTTTCACACGAAATGAGGTTCGATCGCCAAAAACTGAGGTAAAATTGCGATTTCAACTTGTCCGGCGCAACCCTTTCGCACGAAATGAGGTTCGATCGCCAAAAACTGAGGTAAAATTGCGATTTCAACTTGTCCGGCGCAACCCTTTCGCACGAAATGAGGTTCGATCGCAAAAAACGGAGGTAAAATTGCGATTTCAACTTGTCCGACGCAACCCTTTCGCACGAAATGAGGTTCGATCGCCAAAAACTGAAGTAAAATTGCGATTTCAAATTGTCCCACGCAACCCTTTCGCACGAAATGAGGTTCGATCGCCAAAAGCTGAGGTAAAATTGCGATTTCAAGTCGTCCGGCGCAACCCTTTCGCACGAAATGAGGTTCGATCGTCAAAAGCTGAGGTAAAATTGCGATTTCAAGTCGTCCGGCGCAACCGTTTCGCACGAAATGAGGTTCGATCGTCAAAAACTGAGGTAAAATTGCGATTTCAAGTCGTCCGGCGCAACCCTTTCGCACGAAATGAGGTTCGATCGGCAAAAACTGAGTACACAGAGCCTCCAGGAGGAGCTGCGGCGCGCGTGGGCGCCGCTGGGGCCGCGGCTGCCTTTTGATGGCAGGCGCAGTACACAGAGCCTCCTGGAGGGGCTGCAGCGCGCGTGGGGCCGCGGCTGCCTTTCGCGTGGCAGGCGCAGTACACAGAGCCTCCTGGAGGAGCTGCGGCGCGCGTGGGCGCCGCTGGGGCCGCGGCTGCCTTTTGCGGGGCAGGCGCAGTACACAGAGCCTCCTGGAGGAGCTGCGGCGCGTGTGGGCGCCGCTGGGGCTGCGGGTGCATTTTGATGGTGGGCACTCACTCACTCACTCACTCCACTCCACTCCACTCCACTCCACTCCACTCCACTCCACTCCACTCACACACACACACTCTCACCTTGCCGATGCTTGTTCGTTGCCCCTGTTGCCCTTTGAGTGGCTTAATTGTGTGTTTGTGTTGTCATGTCAATGCACAGCCCCTCCCCGCTGTGCACGGTGGCGCCCTCCAGCAAACTAATTTATTTAATTGGCGCCTCCCAGTACAGGAGACAGTTGCCCACCTCCTTGTTTTGAAAACCTGTTACTCTAGGAGACTGAATCAAGCCTCCTTTATATAATTTATATTAATTATACCAGTGGGTGCAGGGAAAGGACACAATTGAAATTACAGCCAGGGCTGCGACAGTGAACACAGGAATGAGGGTCTGAGACAGTGTGTCACTGAGGCTGCAGCAACTGGCGACAGAAACACACTTCCCCTCTGCGCCGCTCAAAAGACTACTCATATTATTCAGATGAGAATCACTGTGACAGAACGACGACACAATCAGCAGCAGATGTTTTGACGCACGCTGTGCGCGCAAAGTCAAACTAAGTTACACGCTGTGTTTCTAACCTCAGACTAGAGACCAAAAAAGGCCAAGAGTCAATTCATCTGTGCGTGGCAAAAATATGAGGCCGAAACAGCCCCAGCAACAATGCAAAATGGCCGGAGCAACCAATTTAAAATCATCATTGCTGCCAAAAAATGTGGCAGAAGATCTTGCACCATTGCGTTTGCGATTGGCGCACATTCCAGCGGTCCAATTTAAATATGGGACCAATTCCGCTCTGTTCTCCGCCTTATTATGTGTGCCAGAAAGCGCTGTACGTGCGCAAGTAAATTTCCAATTCGACATGACTGCACCAGCAATACGCCATAGGGACCATCATAGCACGTCCTCCATCGACGTCGTACCAGGCCTGATTTGAAAACGACATCTAAGAATGACAACTGACCAAGGGCCCACAAAACAAAATTACAAAATTTACGCATGTGCAAAGCGGCAAGTGTCATTGAAGACAGGAAGCAGCTCCATCGTCATGTCATGCTGGGTAACACCGTTAGCCAGGCAGCAAGCAAAGCGTGAGAGGTGCATGAAGTTTCTCGCGCCGCCGTCTCTTAGGTTCAGCCTGGACATGTTCCACGTGCCCTGGCTTTCTAAGTATTCGCGGCGTGACCTCAGGACAGAACGACGAACAAGATAACCAAAACCAAACCCCAAGCAAAAACACAAAAGCACCAACAAACAATTGACAATTGTCAAGTGACCGAGCTCGTCGGTAGAAACTCAACGACTGGTCATTCCAGAAGACTAACCATTCGCATTTCCTGCTTCTGCCTGCTGTTGTCAAGTCTTGGTACTTGCACACTACACAGTGTTGCCGGAGAACTCTCAAGGGTTCGCTGGGACCCAATGCAAGCGAAGTCGCCATGGCCCAGGCCTTGTCAGCGATGTAGCTTAGCGGAAGCAGCCTCGCACCCTTTTTGAGCCAAAACCTAGCAAGGAAGAAGAAATCAGCGGTGTAATGGGAAGATTACTTAGCCGACAGTTCCTCATGACAAGGAAATCTCACGTTGCGCGTGCGCACGAGTTTTTCCCCATGTGGAAACGAGGTTTCCAAATTTAGATTGTCTTCTTTCAGACAGCTGCTTGAATTAATTGACCCTTTCAAGCATTTTTTTATGGCCGAAGCAGCCTTGGAACTGCCGAAGCAGCAGTTTGCCCAAGCTCGAAAGACTCTGACTTACAGCTGGTCCGGCAGGTTTCGTGAACCACACCAATGAGACATCGCTTCACTTCGTCAATTTCACTTCCACCAACGATCGTGAAAAACTGCTTGAGTCCTAGTAGTGTCAAAGCGATAGTCTCAGCGCTGATTCCAGCGCAGTCAGAAAAAACTCGGAGCTTGGAACCTTTTGGCCTTGGTTGGAATGGCCGAGCTTTGTGCTCCTTCACGTAAGCCTTGAGCTTCCCCACGAGCTTCTCCAGCTTACTCTGTGCGACTTCCGTTGTCCGCGGCATGCTCTAAGTGGGTGAGGCCCTACGACGCTTGCACTGCAACACATGTGAGACTTCTAGCACTGCAACACAGAATTGTTGAATCTCAGTGTGAGTAATGTCAGGTGTCAAGACATATCGTAAATTACTAAATTCCTCTGTGAGCATAGACATTGCGCAGGCGGCTAAGTTGCTTGCCGGGTTACCCACCCCTGCCTCGCAAGAATATGTGTGAAATTCTTCGCGAGGTGACCCTAGGGCATTAACAGGGCTTGCTCGCAGAGCCAGACCGGCCCGGCTTCGCGAGGGAACCCTGTTAAAAATCCACGCAACCCTGTGCGAGCCATTTCCCAGGGTAGCACCGATTTTTAACTCCCCTCCCTCGCAGAGCCAGACCGGTCCGGCTTCGCGAGGTGACCCTAGGGATTTAACAGGGTCACCTCGCAAAGCCAGACCGGTCCGGGTTCGCGAGGCTCCTCGCAGAGCCAGACCGGCCCGGCTTCGCGAGGTGACCCTGGGGCCACCTTGCCGCGAAGTGTGAGGAGGCCATGTCGGCCTGCCTTAGCTTTGACAATTTTGTTAAGTTAGGAGACCATGTCGGCCTGCCTTACCTTTAGAAAGCAATTTGTCTCAAGCTGTCCTACTAGGAGGAGACCGCTTGGCCTGCCTTGATGACGGCTTATGTCTTAAAGTCTATACTTTGAAAAGACAATGCTCTGAGCTTTCGCTTTACTTTTATGACGACTAAGCCTCCTTCGATCATTGACCATTGGCCATTGTGTCAGGAGACCGCCCCGATATATCCAACCCAGTGTCATTGACTACGCCTCCTTAAATATCATCGACCCATGAGCAATGTGTGAGGAGACCGTGTCCACACGTGACATATTAATTTGCGTTCAACTGACTGAGCCTCCGGGGGGACCCTTATTAAATTAGGAGACCACGTGTTATCAGCATAATCAGCTACCACAATAATAAAGAAAAACCAGGACCACAGAACCCTGAGCTGCCGCGCATTTTTTTCACACCACCTGCTGCTGACACGCGGAAGACATCCAGGTCGTCATCTGTCAATTAAGTGGACACCCAGGCCCAATGGCCTCTGCTGGCGTGGGACCAGTCTCCGGAACCTCCGCCGTGCCAGTCGTGCCACTCGCGCCAGTCATTTTGACGGCAGGGATGTAGGGGTCGTCCTCCTCTTCGTCGTCTTCGTCGTCTTCCCACTCCTGGTATTTTTTGTTGTACCAGATTGGTCGTGCTTTGCCTCTGTTCGCCTTCTTGCGCTTGGCAGGTTTCGAAGAAGGTTTCCAGTAGATGTCCTGACAGGCGAATCGCCATTGACTTTTCATGGAAAAGTTGTTTAAAAAAACTTACAGCCAAAAATTTAACGACGAGGCTCGCATTGCTTGTAGTAGCAAACGCCACGTCCAGCATAAGTTTGCCTGCCGCAAACTTTGCAAACCCGAAGGTCGACGGCTTGATCCACCGTCAGTGGCGCCGTAGGGGCTGGCCTCGACGACGATGCTGGCTCAACCGCGTCGACATCAACCACCACTCCTGGTCCTGGCACCGTCGTCGTCGTAGGAAGTGGCGCTGGAGTGTCAGCCGCCGTCTGAGTCGGAGTGTCTCCCCGTCTCCAGGGCGGCGGGGCTGCGTCAGGCCCGGGGCCAGTCACAGGCACAGGCACTGTGCCAGGAGGTGGCATCGATGTGCCAGGGGCATTTGGAGGAGCGGCTTTGGCAGTCGTCGCTGCCACGCCGCCAGTGGCCAATGCCGGCGGCGGTGGCCGTGCCAGGAACGACCAAAGGCCCGCCAAGGCGTTTAAGGTGGCTGGGTCGGCACCAGGACCTCCGCCAGGAGGAGGAGCCGGTCCTCCACTGCCAGGACAAGCCGAAGGTCCAGGAGGAGCCGAAGGTCCTCCAGGAGGAGCCGCAGGTCCTCCTTCGGGCGGCGTTGCCACCACTAAGGCCATGAACACGTACAGCGGCGAAGCAGCGGCATGGCGGGACTTGAACGTCGTTTCAGTTTCGAGCGTGAAGTTTTAAACGGCTGCAGTTGACATGACACGGATTTCAACACATGACGAGGCAAAAATTTGTCTGACATGTGCCTGAGTCGTCTGACTGTCTGTCATGTCATATGCCATGTCAGTGGTGGACATGTCGCTGCCCCTCCTTGACGATGGTCAGGAGATGCTTAAAATTGGCAGACGTACGCCTCCCTTCAGGCCAGGAGACGCGCGCCGTTACGGCCTCCTTCCTGGGGAGTCTGACATTAAAATATGTCTTTAAATTTAACGTCTCCTTAGGAGACGCCCGTCTCGATCAAATCGCCGCTTCCAAGCCTGACGGGAGACAGGCGCCTCCTTCAGAGTCTTAGGAAACAGGGAGCCTCCTTGAAAGTCGTAGGTACCTTATAGGAGGCGGGAGCCTCCTTCAAAGTCGGAGGAGACTTCGGAGCCTCCTTTATATCAAAATGCGCAGACTGTGGACGATAGCCAAAAAGAACCCATAGGAAACTGAGTCCATTGATCATGTCATAATAAGCCTAGGGGTAACAGGGGCAACAAACAAGCATCAGCAAGTCACTCACTCACTCACTCACTCACTCACTCATTCACTCACTGTACAAATGATAGCTTCCTCGCTGCCTTTGGCGTGGCAGGCGCAGTACACAGAGCCTCCTGGAGGAGCTGCGGCGCGCGTGGGCGCCGCTGGGGCCGCGGCTGCCTTTTGCGTGGCACAGGCGCAGTACGCAGAGCCTCCTGGAGGAGCTGCGGCGCGCGTGGGCGCCGCTGGGGCCGTGGCTGCCTTTTGCGTGGCAGGCGCAGTACACAGAGCCTCCTGGACGAGCTGCGGCGCGCGTGGGCGCCGCTGGGGCCGCGGCTGCCTTTTGATGGCAGGCGCAGTACACAGAGCCTCCTGGAGGAGCTGCGGCGATGTGGGCGCCGCTGGGGCCGCGGCTGCCTTTTGCGTGGCAGGCGCAGTACACAGAGCCTCCTGGAAGAGCTGCGGCGCGCGTGGGCGCCGCTGGGGCCGCGGCTGCCTTTTGCGTGGCAGGCGCAGTACACATCACAACACAACTCATCACAACTTATCACATACCAACTCATCACAGCTCCACTTCTCACACCTCACTCATCACAGCTCCACTGCTCATCACAACTCATCACAGCTCCACTTCTCACAGGTCCACTTCTCATCAAAACTCATCACAACTTATCACATCCCAACTCATCACAGCTCCACTTCTCACACCTCACTCATCACAGCTCCACTGCTCATCACAACTCATCACAGCTCCACTTCTCGCAGGTCCACTTCTCATCACAACTCATCACAACTCATCACATCCCAACTCATCACAGTTCCACTTCTCACACCTCACTTCTCACACCTCACTTATCACATCACAACTTCTCATCACAACTTATCACATCCCAACTCATCACAGCTCCACTTCTCACACCACTTCTCACACCTCACTTATCACATCAGAACTCATCACAGCTCCACTTCTCACACCTGACATCACAAGTCCACTTCTCACACCTCACTTCTCACACCTCCCCGAAGTTCACATTAAGCTTAGATACATGAAGGCTTGACATGTGGGGTTACCCGGTCCTTTTATATGGTTTTATTGGCCCATGTTGAAGTTTCAGTTTGACGCTTTGGTGAAGCACTTCACCCCAGTTCGTCACAAGGGACAGCACCGGGCCTCTGGTGTGAGCGTTTGTTGTGGATCCCGGGAAATGGCCTTCCGCCGAAATTTCGTCGGTCCAAAATCTGAGAGGCTCAAACTGCCGAAGGGAAACCGAAGGGAAACCGAAGGGAAACCGAAGGCAAACCGAAGGCAAACCGAAGGCAAACCGAAGGGAAACCGAAGGGAAACCGAAGGGAAACCGAAGGGAAACCGAAGGGAAACCGAAGGGAAACCGAAGGGAAACCGAAGGGAAATGGCAATTGAGGGCTCGTGTCTCCAGGTTGGATCCCTCAAATCATAGGCCGGGGAAAACGGATTAGTTGCCTGAGGGTTCAATGGCACCTTCTGCACTTAGTTTCAGCCGTTCTTGATCAATGGCTGAGGGCAGCATGTGTTTTTGAGCCAACAGATTTTGGATTGCACCCAGAACCAAATTTAGACTTCAATGCCTATGGACTTTTTGGGTTTCCTAGGCGACTTCTGGACCGTCCTGGTCTGGTTCAGGGTCAGCAGGGTTAGCAGGGTCAGCTGCGGCGACTTGCGGAAGTTGCGCTGCGACCTCAGAAAAAACGCAGATGACGAGGATCATGACTGGAACTCCGAACCTTGTGCAGTTTCAAGTGCAACATGGAAATGAATCAGAAGTGGGTTGTAAACACCACTGGGTGGTGGCCGTGTAAGCACTTTAGAAAACAATATTTTCCAAGGATTTTTAGAGAGCTGGGTTCGCCCTGAACCGACATGCAGGCCACTATACTCACGATCTTTTGATTTCAACTGTTCAACTGGTACATGACTCATGTAACTCATGTATCATTCATTGTGAACCAAAGGTCAGGCACTCACAATACGTGTGAGACCACTTCAGCTAAATTGCAATGATTCCACCTGGTCCCAGTTCCTATACTTGTCAATCTACATCGATCCACTGTTTATCTGTATATTTAAAATAGATTTAATGCTACTGTGGACAATAATCACATCCTGTGGCATTTGTAAACGTGGCTGCCCATGTCATGCAGCCAACTCACCATGTCTTGGTTTCGGTTGGTCACTGAAGCTCGGGCCTGGGTGTCAACGGTATCAACGATATCAACAACTGCCATCATTGAACCCTCTGAGATCCTCTGAGATCCTCTGGAGCTTTTGGAGAGTTCCAGAGTTCTCCTGAAAATCTCGATGATTGACTTTTCCTGTTGACATCACCATAACTCAGTGAAAAACTCCGTGCTTCGTCCAGGTTCGGCCTGTGTCTGGTCAGCTGCAAGCCATGACTGCTCCAATTCACCCGTCATCACCCCAGAGAATATATCTTCATCCTTTCCAAAGATAAAGATAATAAAACTGATGTTTAACTGATGTTTGGACCGGAATGGTTCAATGATGCTTGGAAAATATATGCAAGATATATGCAAAGACCTCGGGTGTATCCCGGTCAGTTGAAAGCCAAGGTGCTGCTATGGCCCGGGAATGGATTCGATGGATTCGCCCTTCGGCATGGAACACATCACCCAACCTCGCCGTGCCAGGAACTGGCTATGCAACCCCACGTTGGGTTATTCAAAAAGGGAAACACATGGAATCCGGCAAAACTGGGACAGCAGTGAAGACTCGTATACCAAGAACTTCAAGATGTGGTGCAAAATTTCCCGAGTCAAACAAACTCCATGATGTCAGGGACAACCACTGATGGAGCCACATGCAATAAAATGGAGAACTTGGTGAGAATCTGGTATATCAGAGCGACTGGTACAAATTTGGTCTTGTCAAAGCATGCCTCACATTGACACAGGATTGAAATGATATTCAATAATAAGAGTAGCTGGCTGATTGATTCGCACGTTGAAATATTGAGTTGCAGAAACAAAATCAACGTGCCCATCAGGAACTGCTCCAGGTTCGTGAAAATACCGGAACATAGCAATGCAATGAAAGGTGACAAAATGGATAGCGGTAGTTGCAGCGACAATTGAGGTACATGCATAGTGTTGGGATCACCATTCTGGAGATGTTTTGTTGGGGTACAACTTCCAGTTGTGTGGACCCGTTCCCTGCGGAAGAACAGCGCATAAAAAGGTGACGGAGATACGGAGACCCCACAGAGACGGGATGTTCTCTGTTTGTCGCGCTGTGGTGAAGTCGATGCTCGTCCAACATGGACTGGCTATCAGTGACAATTGAAACGGATAGTTGGAGAATTGACCATATATTGACCATATATTGACATATTTCGACTAAAAAACATGTCAAATTTACATGTGATGTCGGCCGCTAACAGGTCGTCGACTACATCCGGTGGCCTCAAAGATCTCGGTAGATTTGTTGCCAAGCGCCAAGCGCCAAGCGCCAAGCAATGCCAAGCCAAGCAACATCAACTCAAAGGAAATCAAATCGATGGAGTTCTCAAGGCAGCTCAACTGGCGACACAACTTCGTCAGTTTGTCAGTTTCGGTTTCATTATTTTTTTGACTTTGGATGCACAGGAGAACATGACAGAGGTGAAACTTTTTGATGCTTTTTGCAACAAAAACACACCGTAACTACCTTCATCGATGGCCGTCCCCATCCCCCTCGGCTGAGCCCAGTGGCGTCGTGGTTGTTCAGCTTCTCCAAAACGTCTTGGAGAAATGCTTCCTGGCTGCAACGGCTGCAACGGCTGCAACATTGGTTGTTCAGAAGCGATGAAGTATGACAATTATATACATTGGTTGTTCAGAAGCGATGAAGTACGACAATTATATACATTGGTTGTTCAGAAGGGATGAAGTATGACAATTATATACATTGGTTGTTCAGAAGGGATGAAGTATGACAATTATATACATTGGTTGTTCAGAAGCGATGAAGTATGACAATTATATACATTGGTTGTTCAGAAGCGATGAAGCATGACAATTATATACATTGGTTGTTCAGAAGCGATGAAGTATGACAATTATATACATTGGTTGTTCAGAAGCGATGAAGTATGACAATTATATACATTGGTTGTTCAGAAGCGATGAAGTATGACAATTATATACATTGGTTGTTCAGAAGCGATGAAGTATGACAATTATATACATTGGTTGTTCAGAAGCGATGAAGTATGACAATTATATACATTGGTTGTTCAGAAGCGATGAAGTATGACAATTATATACATTGGTTGTTCAGAAGCGATGAAGTATGACAATTATATACATTGGTTGTTCAGAAGCGATGAAGTATGACAATTATATACATTGGTTGTTCAGAAGCGATGAAGTATGACAATTATATACATTGGTTGTTCAGAAGCGATGAAGTATGACAATTATATACATTGGTTGTTCAGAAGCGATGAAGTATGACAATTATATACATTGGTTGTTCAGAAGCGATGAAGTATGACAATTATATACATTGGTTGTTCAGAAGCGATGAAGTATGACAATTATATACATTGGTTGTTCAGAAGGGATGAAGTATGACAATTATATGACATTGGTTGTTCAGAAGCGATGAAGCATGACAATTATATACATTGGTTGTTCAGAAGCGATGAAGTATGACAATTATATACATTGGTTGTTCAGAAGCGATGAAGTATGACAATTATATGCATTGGTTGTTCAGAAGCGATGAAGCATGACAATTATATACATTGGTTGTTCAGAAGCGATGAAGTATGACAATTATATACATTGGTTGTTCAGAAGCGATGAAGTATGACAATTATATACATTGGTTGTTCAGAAGCGATGAAGTATGACAATTATATACATTGGTTGTTCAGAAGCGATGAAGCATGACAATTATATACATTGGTTGTTCAGAAGCGATGAAGTATGACAATTATATACATTGGTTGTTCAGAAGCGATGAAGTATGACAATTATATACATTGGTTGTTCAGAAGCGATGAAGTATGACAATTATATACATTGGTTGTTCAGAAGCGATGAAGCATGACAATTATATACATTGGTTGTTCAGAAGCGATGAAGTATGACAATTATATACATTGGTTGTTCAGAAGCGATGAAGTATGACAATTATATACATTGGTTGTTCAGAAGCGATGAAGTATGACAATTATATACATTGGTTGTTCAGAAGCGATGAAGCATGACAATTATATACATTGGTTGTTCAGAAGCGATGAAGTATGACAATTATATACATTGGTTGTTCAGAAGCGATGAAGTATGACAATTATATACATTGGTTGTTCAGAAGCGATGAAGTATGACAATTATATACATTGGTTGTTCAGAAGCGATGAAGTATGACAATTATATACATTGGTTGTTCAGAAGCGATGAAGTATGACAATTATATACATTGGTTGTTCAGAAGCGATGAAGTATGTCAATTATATACAAATATGATGAATTTCTCTTTGAATCATTGAAGATGGACGAAGCCACTATCAAAGACTCCCGAAGGCTGATGCCCAAGGGTTCATGACCCAAGGCATCCCAAGACTATGACAGGCGACAATGAGGGCGGAACTTCAGCAATCTCATGAGCAAAACCACATCATAGTCTATTGGAGTCTATACAAATCAAAATGATTCAAAATGTACCAAGACCTAAATCAATCGGGACATAAATGACATAAGCTGGGCGTAAACTCATCCGAAATCTGCAAGATTCTGCAAGATCGAGGAATTCACGGAACTAAACATCGATTTGGAACCTGAACTTGAAATATGTCGAGTAGTTCGCGCATCTCTCCACGCTGAGAAGTAATCCTCAATGTGTAACAAATGTGTAACACATGTGTAACAACATGTTCTTTTCAAACCTGTGATCGTTTTGCCTACCCAGCCTCATGTTGTGCAACACCATTTGCAACTGCCTTGGCACGCCGTATGACCAAAATTTCGCAGGCTCTGCGGGCCGGTCAGGTGATGATGAATTCTGAAATTCAAAAATATCAACAGGAACAATGGTTCAACAATGTCCAAACAAAATGTTCAAAACATCTTCTCTGCTCTACTCTTGTCGCGCCGTTGTGACCCCAAGACAGTAAAGGAGGCGCTTCCAAGACATCTTAGGCTATCTGATGTGTCACTGCAGCATGGATGGCAAGCTGCCAGACCTTTCTTGAACTCTGTTGGGAGGAGAGGTTAAAATGGTTAAATGACTAGCCATATGATTTCACTGGACTCCTGAGTCCATCCCACTGTGATCAGAGTTCAGATGCATTCAGATGATATTCAGATGATATTCTTGGGTTTGGTTCAGTGTTGTGGCGAACCATGGCGAAATGCTGCGATGCCACCTCAAGACAATTCATTCTGGAAGCTTCTACAGAAGTATTCGCGACAAACAATCCCCTTCAGAAGCTCGGAAATTCAAAACAGAACTCCGGAAATTTACAATATCCAAAAACATTGACAACATACACATAGAATCCCAGCTGTCAAGCCGTCACAAACCTCTACCGCCATATGCTGCTGAAAGGCCAGCAGTCTGTTGCCCAAGCCAGTGCTGCGACTTTCGAACATGCTCAAGATGATAGAATCCTTTGCGTCCTGGGAGTCTTGCAAAACAGTGGGTGTTAGAACCTCGTATGCCTCCAGCTACGCTAGGTTTGCCAACCTTCAAGAAAGCGCTGCCAGTTGCGTCTGTGACGTGATAGTTGCCCCCAAGGGACATCGAACCCAGCATGAGGGGCAGGAACTTTCATTCGCACAGGTACACAGACGGTACACATTATAATCATTATATGTATTGTGCACTGTCGAGTTCAAGAATGCCAAATGAAGGATCCCGAGCAAACGTCGTGGAACGGGAATTTCTGGTAGAAATTCTGGTAGAAATGATATGCTGCATATGCTTGGGGGTGCAGACGCTCAACGTGATGCGTGGAACTGACCCTGGCCTAGCCTCCAGGACATTGTGAATATGTTGACTCTGGTGTTTTGAGCGCCAGCAAAAATGTGTTAAATACCGGTACTGCCGGTACTTCACTAAAATCGTATGACTCATACGAGTCATACGAGTACATGACTATGGATGGTCCATCAACACCTTCACAAGGTTTCAGCGTTTCCGATCACTATCTGTGACTGCAACAAATGACGCAACATGACGCAACACTATCCGTTTGTATCGCAGTGATACTTGCAGTAATCATCCCTTTGGATCCTTTGCATCACTGGAAACTAATGATTAACGACAGTCATGAGGTTGTTAAACTTTGCTCCCATTGCGGGTCTACAGTTGTGATATCTGCCTAAAAACATCTATCTTGTGAGTTTCCGGCGTATCCACTTTTGAGCCCTAGCTTCCTCTAAAATGATCAGATCTGAAGAGTGACTTTTTGACTGACTTTAAGGAATGATGTTTAGCATTCCCTGTGAGAACGCTTTGGAATCAGAATGTCTGATAATGCATAGCGGCATAGCGTATGTAAACCACCGATGAGTAGTGCACATTCTGAGAGTAGGTGAAGACCAGCTGTAGGTGAACCAGTTTTGATAACTCTCTGACGTGACTCCTCTGCAATGGCCCACAATGATCTTTGATCTCCATGTTTGAAAAATCCCGGACCAAACCATGCTTACTTGGATCATCTTGGATCCTTGCAAATCAATTGCGACACTTGTAAGTGTAGCTCCCTCCCATCTCAATATATCTCAATGCATGAAATGTCAACTGGTTCCGTGGCAAGTGCTACCCACTTTCATAGCAACACTCGCCGGAAAATGATCTTAAAGTGGGCCGCGCTATCCTTCCCCAGTCTCCCAGTGCGACCTGCGCCCTTTGTGGAACTGTCCTTCTCGGCACAAAGCTCTTGCAACACTGCCTTGTGCCACACAGCTGGAGTTTAGGTCGCGCCAGGGACTTTGAAACACACAAGGGCTCGAACCCCCCTTTATGAAGCCCTTATTTCGGGATGACGTCGGTGACGTCGTTTTAAATTGTCCAGAACTATGTACCGGCCAGCCACCAACATCCACCAACAACACCATTTACACGGTCTGGACCAATTAATATTTCTACGAATGAGAGTTCTATCCGTCAAGAAACTATAATCATTTGTCTTCACTTTTCTTGCTTTGCACCTGGCATTTATGAATGTCACGACACCTTCAAATACCTCTGCATGTGCATAATAGGATGTGATTTAGACACAAGCACTACAGACTTGAGAGAGGGGCTAGCACCGGCATCATGCCTCCAGTTTGAGAACCAATGTAAGCTACGGTTGACTACGGTTCGCTACATACTGTTGACATCTATCAAACCTATCTTGATTTATAGTATGGATAGAACAGATTGTCTGAATTCACCCTCAAACTGACTTTTACATACTCTGATGGTTTGCTTTTTGTTGGCCAAAACACTTTGAGGTTGTGTACGCCACTCACCAACAAGTCGCTCATGCTCACCCCCCAAGTTCACAATGCAAACAATCAACTAAGCAAGCAGCGATCACACACACAAATCGAACAATTCATCTTTTTTCCAGAAGTTTCATATCCTTTGACGCCTCTCCAATATGGAGGGATTGGATAGTGATGGTTGCCTTTTTGAACCCCCAGTCCATCGTGAACGTTCGAATATACGTTGAGGGCCCATCATCAAGAATGCATTTTTCATATTTTGCGGATGCGGCCCCAAAAGCGGGCCCTGGTGGCAGCGCCGTTTTGAGCACAAGCCGACTGACAGCCAAACGCATTCTCCACTACCGAGCTGTGAGGAAACCAATTTGCACCGGATTATGTTTGGGAAGGCATGTGGCTCGGAAACAGGCAAGGGGTGATAGAACCCCATGTGGACAAACTCCAAGGACACCACGCTACCCGAAACTAGCTCCTCAAACCCGCATGTAAATAAAGGATCATGCCGCTCCCATCTGTGATTAGGCCCCTTGTACGTCCGATTACGCCCTTAAAACCCGCATGTAAATAAGGGATCATCTGGGGTTACGCCCCTCGTACGTCCCGATTACGCCTCCAACCCGCATGTAAATAAGGGGTTACGTCCCTCCCATCTGTGGTTACGCCCATCGTACGTACCGATTACGCCCCTCAAACCCGCATGTAAATAAGGGATTACGTCCCTTTTAGCGCTTTGGCCGCATACTATATAGTATATTCCAAAGCGCGCGGATGGGATACACAGCAACAATTGCACGCCACACACTTCTCCCAAGATGCAGGCAAAACAGCTTCCTGGCAGAAGCGTTGTAAAGGCGGCACGCTGCCAGAGCGCAAGAGGTTAGCATGGCTTCTTGCGGCCCCGGAATTTCACTGATTCAAAACAGCTTCTGCGCCATTTCCCCTCATAGTATTATAGATGTGTGTGTGTCGATGGCGGCTTGCATTGCAGAAGGAAGGCTGGCGCCAGCAAATTGACGAAATCCGGGCCGTCAGGACCGTCGAGCAGCTCCTGTTTTCTCTTATGTGGTCCCAAACATGGGGCCAAAAACCGGCACCAAAAACGGGGCCGCAATATTTCCGGAAGAAGGAAAGGCTTCCAAAATGGCGACCCTGTTTCTGGGACCAGGGTGTTGCATACACAGTCAGCCCCCCTCTGTGTGCAGTGAGTTGCGGAGACTCCGGAACCTTTCGTTTGTTTTCCTGGCAATGGGCTTGACAAAGCCTCATCCAAGCTTCACAATATATATATATATTACACAAAATAGATAGGTTGTTCTCCATGCAACTCATCAAAGTTCATCACATGCTGTGTGGTTTCAAGATGCAAATCCTACTGCCAGGAGCATGAGACCGATGATACCGAGGAACCTTGGTTGAGCACCCGGTGGACGCGGCGCCAGTGCCCGCATCAAAGGCATCAAACACATCGAACATTGAAACTATGGATATGGAAACGATCCTCTAGGTATGATGAGAAATTCCAATGGTTTCAAGTTTGAACTAACAAACGCCTGCACCGACTGAGGCATCAGTGTTCCTGATATCCGCGGTTCAGGAAACCTTGCCTGGGCATCGCTGGGCAATATCTGATTATGCCATCCATGGTCAAATATTCAAATTTATTCGAGCGCCGAGGGGCATGCCCAGCACAATTCCGCCGAAGACGTCAGAAAAGGCCTCGTCAACAGGTGTGATGCGCTGCATGTCAACCCTCCCACTTCTTAGCTCGATGCGTGTGAAGAGTATTGATGGAGCATTGCGAGCTGGACTGGCTTTTGTGGCACTTTGAGAATGACAAGTGGAAACAAATTCGGGGAAGCCAATGCAAAACTGTTTTTCCATTTCGGATGGTCATCGAACTAGAGGCGCCTTGTGAAATGACCAACACATCCTACCACTTCAGGTATCACGTACGGAGCCTCTGAGCTGACTGCTATGCCTGACTGCATAGTGATCCTAAGGTACACTGCGCAGCATAGCGCAGCGGTGTGAGGTGTGCAGCTGCAGGGTCTACCTGTTCTGTCAATGCTTACAACATGCAGACACATGTAGGGTTGCAACGGTACAAAGTGCTAACCCAAAGTGGCAAATCCGTTTCCTTAGAATCAAAATGTTCATGCCCTATCAAGATCATTAAGAAATCATAAAAAAAATCAGGGACCCACAATTCTCAGCGTCAATTCCCAATGAGGCCACTAGTCAAAGGGAAAACTGCTTGGTTTTATGACCTTCGACATCTTCGACATCCCTTGGCTTCACGTGACCTACATGTGACCTGTTCACCGCTCAGCTCTGCCAGGGCTCTGAATTAGCAAGACCGAAATGCACGCGTCCTTAGATCACGGTGTTACCGTGCTACCATCAATTTGAATCAGTTGCTGAGAGGTCATCGGTCAATAGTGGTCAATCATCCAACTTATATCAACTTCTGCGATGTGACAGGAACTCAATTTCGCAGAATCAGCGACAAGAGAGATCTGCCTCTGCTTTTCAACAAAGGGCTCCGTGAAACCTGCATCCATGTGCAGTGTGCTTCTCTATGACGCTATACGACTAAGCATTCAAAGCCCTTCATCTTTTGATGCATTTGGAATCTTCTGTATTATGTACATACTTCTTGACGTGAACCTTATAATGCGTAGTCGCATTGCCGCTTTCATATAAACCAAGGAAAAAGGAGTTTGAGGTTTCGGGACAAACAACCATCAGAGACATCTTAAAACAATACGCAACACCTCCACAGGCAAGCGAGCTCTTCATAGAGCAGCAAATTGAAAGTGCGCTTCAGATTCAAACAATTTCAGCTTTGAAGACTCATGAAACGTGTTCAAACACACGATAGCTGACAGCTGCACTCCTCAATACCAGTCTCACAACTGGAAACTCACAGCAAAAAGTCTCAGATTTAATCGAGTGCATGAACTTCATCCCACAATATCCACCGAATTCATACAGAACGTCACGTCAAATCCCGAAGTCAGGCGAGGGATGCCCAATTAAACCTACCATCTGACTTTTGGCCGAAGTTCCACCCAGTTGAGCAGGGGCACTTTCCATGGACGTGCCATTGCCCTGAGGCTGAAGGTTTGGTAATGGCATAAAAGGGATGCCATGGGATGCTGTTCCAAGTGCCTCCCGATGAATATGATTAATTAAATATGATTGATATGATGCCCATATGGGTATGGCTCAAAAAACGGGTATGGATCGTTCCGCGGGTAATTATACATGCCCAGGATTTGCAATTACTGAGGTACGGATCATGCCCTGAGCATCGCATATTGATTAGAATCAAGATCTTGATTTGATGGGGTTCAAACATCAATCTGAGATATTGATTTTTCAAAGGCAAATTTCAAAGTAAAAAAGTATCATTTTTGGAGCATCAAATCAAGTGGAGAATCAATATTTCCAAAAAAGAAAATCAAGATTTTAAAACAGGAAGATCAAGATTTTCCGAGAAAAGCTGCATCTGACTTCCTCCTTTTTTCTACCATGATGCAGCCCTGTCAAGCCTTTTCCAAGACATGCAATATCTTTTCCAAGACATGCTGTGTGATACCTTTTCCAAGATATCTCCAGAATGCATCTTTTCCAAGATCAGCAGGAGAAGAGCCTTTTCCAAGATACACCTAATCCTCCTCACTGTCCCACACAGGTTCCTCCATGCTCCTGGTCAACAGGAAATGGTAGAACAACCTGTATTTGATGCACAGTTTGGAGCTCACCCTTGTGGAGGAAACTCCAAAGCTGATGCTGTGGGCCATTCTGGAGATTCGACCCACAAAGTCTTCCCCTTTGAAATTCCAGTGCCTTTTAGGATTCAGAAATTTGGAATTCCAAAGGAGGTGGATAAAGGTATCTTGCTTCACAACAATGGCAAAAGAATGCCTACCCTTTTCCAAGGACCATGCATTCAGCCATTTGTAGGCCAGCAAGAATTCTTTTCCAAGAGCCATGCCTTTTGAAAATTCAGCAGGAGTGAGGAATTTACCTGCTTCATCCCACAATGCCACAAGCTTTTCCAAGCTCTTGGCTGCAGATAACATTTTTTTCTCTTCTTCTTTTTTGGTCCCAGCAAACATCTTTTCCAAGACAGGAACCAAGGCTGGAAGCAGATGCTTGCTTTCACCTGCTTTGCAGTCCATGGTGGCTTTTCCAAGCCAAGGCTTTTCAGCATTTGTAAACATGCTGAGCTTAAGATTTGTGAGCCTGTGCTCCAAACCTTGGGACTTGTATTCCTGCTGGATTTCATCGAAGATGACCCCAATCCTTTTGGATGGCCTTTCCTTACAGACCTTTCCAGGCCCTTCATACCAGCACAGGTAATGTAATATACCTCCAATGACATGGCCATAGGGTCCTTTACACAACAAAATATGCATGGGGTCACCCCTGCAAGTTTTTGCAGTAACACCAGGGACTTGGAACAAAGGGTGTTCCAAGTGGGAAGCTTTTCCAAGCTGCTCCTTCTGTGAAAATGATTTGAATTTGGACTTGTCCAAATCCAATTCTTTCACATTCAAGGTGGCCTTGCACCCTTCAAAGTTTTCAGCATTACATTCCCAGCAAGGGTACTTGGATGCCCAGTGGGGAAGCTTCAGGTGGTTGCTGAAAAATTCGTGGTCCCCTTGCACTGCCCAGATGTGAGCCTTGTACCCTTTGGGGTGCAAAGGCTGCCCTGCTTTTCCAAGCAGCTTGCTGCCCTTTCCCAAGGGCCTGCCATCTGGGCCATGAGTTGGATGAAACCCTTTTCCAAGAGCTTCAAAGGACCATTTCAAATATTTCCAAATGGTGGGCCAGGTGTCCCTGGTTGTACAGCTTTTGGGGAAGGCAGCCAGCAGCTGGTGCTGCTTCATGCTTGCCATATCACCCAAAAAACAGCCCCATGACCATACCAACATTGTATCTCTTGTTTGGTACTCCACTCCATCCCCATATACAAATATGGGAATGGAGTGGAGTTGCCAATGCTTTTCCAAGCACATGGGATGACCTTCTAGTCTGTCATCCTTGGTTGTTTGCACTCCTTTCCAAAACTTTTCCAAGGTGGAAAGTTTCTTTGAAGAACTCAGGATAATGTTCCCCAAGATGTGCAAACTGAAGATGGGGGAGGTACACTGATGCAAGCTCAACCTTTTCCAAAGAAGTCTTGGGATCAATGCACTTCACTTTGATGCCAAAAGGTTCAGGCAGCATCACATCAGAGCAGAACTTGTTCAAGATCTGCCTGTGGCAGTTTCCTGGCTGGGCACCCCAATTTCCACATTGGGCCAGCTTCACCAATTCTGGGTGATCTGCTCCATCTTGCAAAGCCAAGTTTGCCAGCTCCCTGACCATGACAGCAGAGAGGCTGCCAGAAGCCCAGAGATGGAGCAACTTGCTGGCCAATGGTGATTCATGCTTTTCCAAGGCATCTGCCTTTTCCAAGGCTTTGTTGCCTTTTATGGCGTTTCTGCCAGATTCTTGTTCCAGCTGCCAGCCCCTGAGCCTTTTAGCCATAGCTTTTCCAAGCCTAAAATCAGCAACAGACAAACAGCTATATACAAAAGGGATCCAAGCTAGTAGCAGCTGAAGCCAAATTGCCAAGGCATGCATTTTTTCATGATGGCAGCTGCAGTACCACACCTCCCCTATAGCCCCAGTGAGCACTCATTTTTCCTGCAAGTGCCCCTGTAAGTTTATAATATGCCACCAACCCCTGTATTAGAGGTCAGGCTGCCATGGGCCACACACAACTGGGAAACAACAAATGGTTCTTTGCATGAAGACTGGTGTGCATGCAACTTTTCCATATAAAGTCAGTGTGTGGCCCATGTAGTTTGCCCTCTCAGTGTGGCCTTTTCCAAGACCAGCTGTGCGCTTTCTGTTGCCAAAGGCATTTTCCAAGGCCCTTGGTCCCAACTTGCCTTTTCCAAGGCTCCTGCTGCCCCCTGAGGGACCTTTTCCAAGATCACTTGGCTTTGGAGGAGGAGGAGGCACCCCCCAAAGCCAGCAGTCTTAGTTTCATCCTTGGCAGTCTTGACCACTTGAGCCACCTCCATCAGCTGCCCCTTCACTGGATCATCTTGCAGCTTTGACTTTCCAGTCAGCAAGGTCTTGATCTTCTGCAAAGCTTTTCCAAGCTCCTTGCTCAGATCATTGGCTGTGGTCTTGCCTGCTTTGGTCAGCTTGGAACCTGCTTTTTCCAAAGCTTCTTCCAAGTCTGACATTGTTGCAGACACCATATTCCTGGCAGTCCTGCAAGCCTTGGCAAGCTTCTCATGGGGATCAGGCTCATCCTTGTCCTCCTCCTCCTTGATGGCTCTGCCCCTGCCTCTTCTGCCTTTTCCAAGGGACCCCTGGCCTTTTCCAAGGCCCTTGGCACTACCTTTTCCAAGGCCTTCATCCACAAACAAGGAATGGCAGTCAGTGCTGAAGAGGTCTATGAACTTTTCCAAGTCCTCATCCTCAGGCTCAAACTCAACACCACTCTGCCATTCCTTCTGCCTGGCTGTGTTGATTGCTTTGTGCCAATTCTGGGTATCTTTGTATTCAAAGGTACCAGAAGTGTAGGGGCACTCTGTCCAGATCACCTTTCCAGACTGGAGATGCATCTCCAGCTCTTCTGGGCTGTACCTGGTAAGCATTTGGAGTTCGGTTTCCCAGTTATCAGTCTTAGTGACAACTTCTCCCACAGAAACCCTCCTGGAGGCTTGGAGAAACTGCTTGCCTTCCTTTTCCAAGAGCCATTTGCAAGCAGCAATTCCTTTCTCCTTCTTGCCAAGTTGGGCATGGGCCTTTTCCAAGGCCTTGTTCCCTCTGAGGGATGCCTGGTGCTTGGCCCAGAGTTTGCTCTTATCAAGCTTGGACAGAGATCCATGCAAGATTGCAGCACCCTGGTCTGCATCACCTTCAGCCTCCTCAGCTGTAGCTTTGACCTTGTCTTTGATGGTTCCTGGTTTTTCCAAACCATCTCCATCATTGCAGCCAGGCTTCTTCATGGGCTTTTCCAAACCCTTTCTTCCAGATGACTTTTCCAAGCCTCTCTGGTTGGAAGGCTTTTCCAAGCCTTTCTTCTGGGGAGACTTTTCCAAGCCATTTTTCTTCTTCATTGTTTTCATAACTTTTTTTTGGTGCCATAGTACCACTTGACACCCAAAACTGGTGACTTTTCCAAGCACAAAAGCACTTTTGTCTTCAATTTGCTTTGATCCAAAAACAGCTGCAGGTGCAAAACATGTTTTTGGCATTTTATTGTTTTTATTGTTTTATGTTTTGGGCATTGGAGCCACATGTGAAAAACATATAGTTTTCACAAAATATCTACTTTATTTTCACAAAATGAATCAAAAACACACAAAATAAATCAAATTTTCCAAAACTACAACACACTTTTTGAAAATCAAATTTGTGGTATGTTTCATGTATTTTAATTCATATTGGTATATACATATGTAAACATATTGAGCTAATAAAAAAAAGCTAAAAACATATTGTATTCTTTTTTTTATTATGATTGAACCAAATATAGTATAGTATGCTTAAAAATTAAGCATTTTGAACTAAATATATTTTTGAAATCAAATTGTTTTAGTGGTAAAAACAAAGGTAATAATAAACAAAACATGGTTATACATATTATATTTTTAATTTCACAGTTTATTAGTGCACTAAAATGACTTATAATAAAATATTGCAAGCATTTCTGGTACTTGAAAACCAACTCATTGAACTATATTTGTTTTGCAAAACATGAACTACATATAAATATATGTAAAGCATTTATTTAAATGATTTTGTGTGAAACAAATAATATGTAATTGTAATATTTTTATTTTTTTGGTTTATGGCAAAATAAAACAAACAACAAAAATATTTAAACAAAATAAAGGTTTTCAAACTTGACAAAACTTGATCAAACTTGATCAAATTTGATCAAATTTTATTTTTTCTTTTTTGTTTAAACAAATTATTTTTCTCAAAATAAAGAATATATATTCCAGAATATATAGTTTTATTTTCTGAAAATAAATATATATTGTTTGTTTTTTAAATTTGGTGTGATAAAGATATTAAATATTGATACTGTGGTTTCTTATTTATGAGAATCAAATTTCAAATCTAAGATATTGAAAACAGTTGTCAATTTCATGTGCCAACATGTTTCACAGAAAACAAATGTAAGTTTTTTACTTTCTACCGATTAAAATCCCTTTGCCAAAGGAACCATAACCGACAAATTTGATTATTTAAAAACAATGCAGTTTTAAATATATTTTCTGAATCACATGAGTTAATTAATAGGCATTGCAGAAAAATAAAATACTACATATCTGAAAATTAAAAAACTACATAAACAAAAAAATGTATATAGGAAAAACCAAACCACACCATCCATATATTCTATGAACCCAAATTTCCCAAGAGAAACTCCCCCAAAAACAGTAAATGTATTTTCTCCAGAAAAAAACAGAATGTTTCTAAACAAACTGCTACACAAATAAACTACACCACAAAAATCAACAACAGAAGCAAGTTGACAAGAAAAGGCCCTTAAACTAATTGCTGCACAAAAAAAATCCCAACACAAACTCCCAGTAACAGTAAGTTCCCAGAAGGATGCTCTTAAACAAACTACTGCACACACACCCAAAAACATTGTTCCCAATACAAGTTCCCAAAAGAAGTAAAGAAAAAATATAATTTTGCACCTTCAAGATTTAAATGTGTTTTGTCAATCATGTGTTGTTTTCTCAATATATTTTTTCAAATTTATACATATATATATATATTGATTTATTTATTTACCAAATAAATATGTTATATTATATTTAATTTTCTAAATATCTTACTGTAATTGAATTAATTTAATTTATTTTTTATTTGAATTATTTTTTTTCATTTATGCCAGTCTGTGACCAGCTGGCAGTGTTTGCCAGCCAGTCTTTTAAAAAACAGCTGCAAGCCCCAGCTGACTGTACTGTACAATGGCTTGAGCAAAAAAAAACAGACATGGATGGGCTGCAGTGAAACCAAAAAACAACAAAAGACTATCATTTTTTTCATGTAGTTTTTTGTTTAAATACAAAAGGGTATAATTTGGTAAGATGTGTTTTGTCATTTATATATTTATATGTTATATATATATATTTAAATCACTGCAGCCCAATCCATGCCTGTTTGTTGCTTGAGCTTTTCCAAGCCCATCATGCACTGCCTCTCATTGAAGGCTTTTCCAAGCCAATGACCTTGCTGGGCTTTTCCAAGCCAATTTGGCATTGGGCTTTTCCAAGCCCATGTGGGATTAGGCTTTTCCAAGCCCATCTGCCAGGTGCAGCCAGCCTTTTCCAAGACCAGGGGCCCAGCAGTCTTTTCCAAGACTACTGAGCATTGGCCCCCACCAGGAAAGCATCCACAGCTTTCCAAAAGGTGGGGAAGGCCCCCTTGGCTGCCTTCTTCTGTGAGACCTGGTAAGCATCAATGCCCCAGGCCTCACATTCCTGGCAGATATGCCAATTGTCATCAGAAATGGCAACAGCATCCCACTGCCAGGCAAGATCTGCCTTCCCACCCTCACCACATTTCTTCCAGCAGGTTTCTTTCCCAAGGCCCTGCTGGTGAATGTGGTCTGGGATCATGGCATCCATGTCCACCAGGACTTGCCTTTTCCTGAAGGCAGTGTCCACTGCAGAGAGCAGGATCACTCTGCAGTGTTCCTGCAGCTTTTCCAAGCCTGCCAGGTTGTCCTGGCTCACAACATCATCCTTTTCCAAGGTGTTGTGCCAGTCAACCACCACCACAGGCTTTTCCAAGCCCTTGGTGGCACTGCCATGGGTGGTGCTGCCCTGGGACTTTTCCAAATCCTTGGGCTTGGACTTTTCCAAGCCCTGGGCAGGCTTGCTCTTCTTTTTTTTTGCATTCCTTTTCAAAGGTGGCTGTTGGCTTTTCCAAGCCAGAAGAAGAGCTTGCAGCAGCAGGGGTGGGCACAGCCTTCCTTGGCTGGCCACTCTTGCCCCTGTGCTTGGCGCCCCCTGCCCTGGGCTCATCAGAGGTGGAGAGCTGTTCCAATTTCTTGGTAACAGCATCTGCCATCCTCTCCTGGCACCTTGCTTTTGCCTTTTCCAAGGCTTCCAGGTGCTTGGCCAGGACAGTGGGGTCAGTTGGGTCTGCCTTTTCCAAGGCTGACCACTGCATCCCCTTCCTTCTTTCATTCCTGGCCTGGGAAGTGGTCCCATGACCAAACTTCCTCCCCTTTTTGTTGGGGGGCCCTTCAGGCTGGTCCATCTTTTCCAAGACTTTGCAGTTCAGGAGGGATTTTCCAACCCCTTGGGTTTTTCCAAACCCAGTCTCAGGGACCAGGCTTTTCCAAACCCAAAGCCATGCTTCAGCAGCAGAGCTTTTCCACGCCCACCAACAGCAACAAGCTACAAGTGGTGTTGTAGTTGTATGTGCTGACTGTGAAGTCTAGTTACAAAGTTGTGTTATAGTGGTTGTTGTTTTCTTGCCGACTTTTGTTGTTGGTGAACATGTGTATGCCTGTGCAAGTTGTGTGCTGTGCTGTGCAAGTTGTGTGTGTGTGCGTGTGCATGTAGCATGTGTGGTGACATGGTCATGCATGTAACCTGCTCAAGCATGGCTGCAGATATTCATTCAACATCAACAAGCATGCAGTTACCCTGTGGCCCCCACTAGCTACCAGGTTCCTAGCCAGTACTATACAACCAGTTACCCACCCAGTAGAGAAGCAGCAGCTACCTTTTTCCTTTCAAAATTGCTGATGCACTTCAGCTGCACTTGGCCCTTTTCCAAGGGCATGCATGTCCTTTTCCAAGAACAGGGTTGTCCTTTTCCAAGGATAAGTTGCATGTCCTTTTCCAAGAACATGTGCCAAGGCCTATGGACTGTACTTTTCCAAGAGGCCCTTCCTCATGGCCAAGGCTTCAGCTTTTGTCAGGTTGTCCTTTTCCAAGGCACACCTGATCTTACCAATAATGGCAAGGTAGTGGATGGACATATTCTGAGTCACCTCAGCAATGAGATGCAATTTGCCACCCCCCACCCTACCTTGAAGGTAAGATCTTGGCTGGGGCTTGTTAGCATCTGTTTGCTTGAGATCAACCCAAGGTTCCCTTTCTTTGGGTTCATCAGCCATGGCCTTGCCTGGCTTGCTCTTGCCTTTTCCAAGGCATGCGGCAGGCTTTTTGGCAGGTTTTGCCTTTGGCTTTTCCAAACCATAGCCCATGGCTGCATGCAACCTGCTACCTGCTCTCCTCAGGCACATCACCTGGGAGGAAGATGCACTTCTGGCTTTCTTGGAGGGGCTGCTGAACATCCCAGGGAAGCCTGCAGAGTCCAAGCTCACATCACTGATTCTGGGAGCCAGCTTTCTTTTACCTTTTCCAAGGGCCTCCTTGCCAACTTTTCCAAGCTTCCCTGCATCTTTGCTAGGCTTGGCTTTTCCAAGCTTGGCCTTGGCAGATGCTGGTGCTTTTCCAAGCACATGGGCCTTTTCTTGAAGTGATGCTTTTCCAAGCTCACTTGTGGCTGCTTTGCTCTTAGCAGAAGGTGCTTTTCCAAGCTCCACTTCTGCTGCTGTCACTGGCACCAGGGCCAGCTCTGTTTTGTTGGGCATTTTGAACTTTTTCAAGCCCACCAGCAATTCATGGCACTGGTCCCTGGTGAGCTTGGCAGCCACAGACATGAGAGCTTTGCTGCCCCTGCCAAGTTTCCTGACATGTGCCAGGAGGCAGTTCAGCCTCTCCACCTTCAAATTGGCCCACACCAGCCCAGTATGTTTCCCCAGGTTTATATCTGGGTTCTCTGCCAACAAAGACAGGAGAGCCTGTCTCAGTGGCTGGCTGTGGATCAAGCCACTTGGCTCCAGATCCAACAACCCTGTCCATAGCTTCCTGGTGGCATGCAAAGCCTTAGCATTGGGCCCAGAGCTGGAGCACATATGCTCATAGGCCCCCAGGTCAGCCAGGATATCCTTGTGCTTTTCCAAGCACTTAAAAACCAAGCCAACATCCACCAGAGGTTTGGCTTCATGTCTGGGTCCTCCCCTGGACATTGGCCTGGCTTTTTCCAAAGCCTTCCCAGACTTGGGCCTTTTCCAAGACTTGGGCCTTTTCCAAGACTTGGACCTTTTCCAAGACCTGGGCCTTGACTTTTGCAAGGTTCCAAAAGTAAGCGACAAAAACAAACTTTGAGCCAAAACTGCATGTATGGGTGGTGGACATGTCAACCATATGCACACATGAAGCAGCCAATGAGAGATCCAGATAGGTCAGAAAAGGTAAGGAGAGAAATCAATAATTTTAAAGATATAAATCAAGATTACAAAAAATGAAATCAAGAAACATATCAAGATGAAAATCAAGAAAAAATCAAGATATAATCCAGAAAAAAAAGAGAAAAAACGTGATTTCGGAGTGTCAAAAAAAAACATCAATATCTCAGAGCATCCAAATATTGATTCTAATCAATATGCGATGCTCAGGGTGGGTATGGATCATAGGTATGGATCATGTCCTCTAAAGGGGTATGGATCATGGGTATGGATCATGGGTATGGATCATGGGGTATGGATCGCATGTGCTACCGGGGTATGGATCGGAACCTTACATTTTGAGCCGCAGCCATATATGTTCCAACATATTCTATGAAGTGGTGCGGCATGGTGCTGCCTTTGTGAAGGTTGCTCACAGATCCGTTGGATTTTCATGCGGCAATGCTCTGTTGCGCCAATTTGAATTGAGAAGATTTGAGAAAGAAGCGATGAATCTATGAAGTTTCGTGGGAGAAGGTTTTTTTGTGGGATATGCGTTCGGACCTCACTTTAGGTTACCGGGAGGCCTCAGAAGCGTACCAAAGTGTCATGTTGAAATGGAAGGTGCACAAGAACGCATATCAAGCGTCCCAGCTACTTGTCCTGGCTCAAGCCCTGTACCAAACATAAATATGTATGCTATATATGTCATATTGCTCTTCCATTCGATGGGTGAAAACCAGCAAACAGGCAAAAAAAAACGGTGGTCGCGACATGAGACCCAAACCCGGCAAATCTTCAGCAAATCTAACTTTTCACCAGTCGGATCAGAATGTATGCCATACAGAACGCCAGAACTTTTGCCAGGTAAAATTTGCAAAAGATTTGCCAGATAGAACGCCATATTTGATGCCAGATAGAACAGCCGAAGCGACACCAGAAGAAATTACAGATAATAGAATGCCAGGGTTTATGTGACGGGAGGGTCGGTCGAAGCAAAGAATTGTTTTAAGTCTTTGTTTGTTGTTTTCGGTCTTTTGGTTTTGTTTATTTCTCAATAAGCCTTTGTTTTTTTCTCAGTTTGATCACAATCAAAAAATTCTGATCACAATCAGAAAGTTCTGATTGTGATCAGAAAATTCACTCAATAAGCGTTTTTTTTTCTCAATTTTGCATCAAAAATAAGCAAAATTGAGAAAAACAGCGCTTATTGAGTGAATTTTCTGGTTACAATCAGAATTTTCTGGTTGTGATCAGAAAATGTTGATTTGCATTTTTTTTGGATAACAATCAGAAAATTCTGATCACAATCAGAAAATTCTGATCACAATCAGAAAATTCTGATCACAATCAGAAAATTCTGATTTGCAAAAATTGTTTGGAACAATCAGAAAATTCTGATCACAATCAGAAAATTCTGATTTACATTTTTTTTGGATAACAAGCAGAAAATTCTGATCACAATCAGAAAATTCTGATCCTTGATGTTCAAGTTGGAGGCTTAAGGTTCAAAACCTGTAGAATCAGAAATGTTCGGATACACGTTCCAAAGTCACAAGTCACCAAAAACAAACGAACAATGCATCAGAAAAACCACTTGATAGTAATATAGAAACGCTTAAAGCAATGCCACGATCAGAATTTTCTGAAAACCAGCTCGCGCGAAACTTAGTAGATGAATCAGTGGAATCGCGCCCCCATTTTGACGGATGTTTTTCCATGTAATTTCCAGCTGCCTGGCGGTCACGATTCCCAATCTTGTCTGTCTTGCAAAAATCCATGCCAAGGATTTTTGCACACAGTCATCTTTTCATATCTTTTCTTGTCACATTTTCCAGTTGCATTTATTTCCGTAGAGGAACCTACGCCTTGTTTTCAAGGTCGAAGCACTGCTTGTTTAAAGATGTGCGGCGGTCTTGAATTTTTGGTAGCATGATATAGCATGTTTTCACAGTTGCAGCGGAACTGCGAGCACATGCTTTTGAAATATGGAGTATGATTGAGTTGGTTCAAGGAATTCTTGAAATAGGCCGTTTGTTTTGAAGTTGATAACAAGGTGAACACCTTTCGCAATCGAACGCATCCAGTGCAGTCATTTTCTCGGAACCTTGGCGCGCACTCAATATCCCTCCACACCATTCCCCGCAAGCATGTCGCGTATCTTGTTTGGGAATTTCCTTCTCAGAGACCTGTGACCCAGTGACCTAGTGGGCATGGTCATGGGGATCATTCAAACGCAGTCACTGGATCACGATGTAGATGGTCAGGATCAGCGAATTCAAACCTCAAAACATGTCTGGTGACAGCAGATCCAACTATGAAATCGCACAATTCTTCTGAAAGTTCATGGCTATTGACGGCTAGGTTACTTTTACCTGACCCAAAGTCAAAAATTCAGGGTTTATTCCATGAACCGGCCAAACAACTCCAGCAAACGCAAGCAATATCTAGCCCCATTGAACCCATGAGCCCACTTATGCACCATTCCCTTTTGGGGCGAATAAACCATATTCCCAAGAGCAGTACCTGTTGGATTTCAATTTGAGTGCGCACTGTGCTTGTCGAAACGCTGGAACCCTGGAAGCTTTAGGTGCTGTTGGATTGCAAAGCTGTGCTAACTTTGTGTTGGGCTATGAGCCAGGACACACACTTGGGCGGCTGGAAAGTTTGTTGCGCATGTCACCACCAAGGACATCAATGGGCCACGCAAAAGCAACGGAATTCCGAACCTAGGGCCAAGCAGTGGCTTTTGGTGAGTACAGCAAGGTTAACTATCGGACCTAGGATTTGGAAATTGGTAGCATTTCTTGGGTCATTCGCGTGATTCTTAGATCATTTTGCTCTGAACCTTTCTACGTCTCTTTCATGCCATACTGGTAGTGGAACCGTGAAGAGGGCTGATCAAGGTGGCTTGCGATTGTTTATTGCCTCTGTCAAACGATTGCAGACATAATCACATGTTGCCCCTCTGTTACAAGATGCACGAAGGGGGGGGACTCCAAAGAATCCTTGAGAGCTGTGAAACCAAACATATCTGCGGTGTCCCTGTGTTTTGATTCAGTTTTGATTGCTCTTGAAGACATGTTGGATTCCCAGTCCCTTTGAACACCTTCATCGTTGAACAGATCCAGCGTGAATTCTTCCGTATTCCCTTGCCACAACTTGTTGCGCAAGAGCAAGAAGCCACCATTTGTCCAGGCGAAAGCGAAATGTCAGGAAATTGAAGCTTTGGACCCGATGGTGGAACATCCTCACAGCACCAAACAGTCAGCCGTTCACAATACATGACGATTCATGAAGATTCATGGGAAAACGACTAAACCTCTTGAATGCACACTGTACATCTGCGCCCATGTGTGATTTATGATACGCATAAGAGACAGTACGCATAAGATACGCATAAGATACGCATAAGATACTTGGGTATCACATTCGCCATCCTTCTCCATCCTTCGCATATCTTGTGTGGGTTTCAGAGCACTGCCTGGCAGATTGGGGCACCTGTCTGAACTCCATGATGGTAAGGCAACTGTCGCATAGGTCACGATTGCCAAAAAGCCGACGACGAAGACAATCAGCAAGGACACGCCTCTAAAGGACACAGCAAAACTCAAGGTTTGACTTGGAAATATCTGGAGTTGGGTTGATGAATTGGATATATATATATATATATTTATTTAGGACTGCAGATAATTGTATTCATTGCATATAATTGCAAGATATGTTGTACCCCCTTCGCAATCAAATGGAAGCGCGAAAGAAGAAACTCCAAATGTACCCAATGGACTGAAGCCATCAAACCATTGGAAAACCGAACTTGTGATTTTGTGCTTCTAAGGGGGTCAGGCCAAATGAACTATCTGCTATCTGTCCATCTGTCCATCTGTCCAAATGTCTCTACGTAAAACATGTATTTACATATCTGCACTTGTAGATGTATACATACCAAGGGAAAGAAGGAGAACACACTTAACACATCCATCATCATCCATCCAATCTTGTCCTTTTCCGGGACGCCTAGTGGATCCAAGTCTGCAACTGGGTGTGTGAACTGCGGATGAGTCTTGCGCCCCATGAGCCCCAGTGCCTGCTGCCATCATGGTGGCTTGCTCACCTTCGCCACAGGTGATGCTGGAGTACTTCACCAAGCCTTTGGCACCAAACCATGATGGCCATGATGGCCATGATGGCCATGATGGCCGGAAAACAAAGTGGAAAATTGAAGCTTTGGTGTGTTCTTCATCGGCAGAACCCTCCTGAGGGTATGGGCGATCAACCTCTGAGATACCCGCAAACTGAATGGTTATCAAATCTACAGCGAAGCATTGCCAGGAGATGGTGGCTGCTAGGTTTTGACACATCTCCTATTGGCAGGATACAGTGTATGTGGCCTTTCGGAACATCCACCTCATCAAAACAACAACCTTCACGCTTAGAAAAATGAACCAACTTTCCGACTATGAGACGGGGCAAGATTGAGACCATAGTTTTCCAATCGTTGCTGAATACTCTCCGGAGTCAAATGAAAACTCACGACGCAGGCTCCGTGACAATTGGCTGCCTGAGTCATCCATGGCTTTCCACCATTCTTGTTGTCGTCTTTTATTGCGCTTTTAGGCTGCATTCAAACTTATTGAATCCATTTGGTACACACTTCTGCAAGTCTTCCTATGCACAACTGATCATTACCACTCTAGTATATTTCGATCAACATTTTGCACAACAACGAGATGCCGTTGGTCCAGTAAATGCAAGGCCTCCTTGTTCACAGGCTATGGGCTATCAGACGGCTATCAGTAGTACCAATTCACCTGCTAACCCCTGGCTTAATGTCAAAACTTCAAACTTATCAGCTCAACTCAGCTCAGTTCAAAGCCACACACACATACACACACACATGTGGATTTTGAATGATTTCCAAAGTGCCGAAGCGACCGTGGTCAGAGTGCTGCTGAAGAACTGTAAGAGCCATTGGGATGGACATAGCATGTCCTTGGATCTTGAAACCAAAGCCAACCCGCAGTGGAACGATTTTGGAAGATGGACAGATCGGATTTAGATGGAGACCTACAAACAAGGGTGGTGGCAGGGTTCTTTGTGACCTGGACCTGAGAATCACACCGGAATTCTACAGAATCGACATCATTAGATGATCGCGGTACAATCTTTGCTCACCCAGTGTGGTGCCTGGAACAGAACTTGTCACGATGAGACGTGTTGCTAGGGGTTGCTTGAGTCCACGGCCCGAACGGCGTGCACCTTCACTGGAAAAGCATTTCGCTCCAAGGCCACACACTTATCACAATCTGCGTCACCAAAGGCCTTGAATTCTTCCAAAAGCACCCCATTTTCGCCATTTTCATTATCTTTTTGAATTTGCTTCGAGATTAGGATTCCTCCCCGCATCCGAGCACTTGGCCGTGCGGTCCAAGAGGCATACTCTGCAAAGCCACAGTGCTCATGATAGCAAAACTGGCCTGCCGCCAAGTTATGTTCATGGAATCAATGGAATCCTATCAGGCCACATGATCTACATGCTGTACCCATGTAATTCATTTGACTTGTGAATCTACGAAGGGGAGATGAAAAGGCTTTCAATTGCTGATTGCCCAGGCCACCACCATGAAACGAAATAGCTCTGCCGTCACCCAGCCTGCATGTAATGACCAATCGTGTTGGCTGTCCTGAGCACAAAGAATCACACAGTGTTGCTGGGAAACAGCGCTGATCAACGTATAGCTTCCAAGCTACAAAACCATGTGAACATGTGCAGTGTCCAAACCGCTCATAAGGATCATAAGGGCGCGAAGATTGGGATTGGCCAAGACATGAAAAACAAAATGCCCTTAAGATGCTCCAGCAAACACCGACGCGGAAGGCACTTCATGTGCCTGCATTTCCCTCAGAAAAATGCTGCTAAATTTCTTTGCCGGCCGCCATTGCAACCATTTGGGCAAGCATTTTGAGATGAAGAACAATGCCTGGCGTGCAAAGTGAGTCCGTGAGCGGATAGTTGGTATGCACTGTATGCACCTTTTCTGTCGGCACAAAATATGTGTCACCTTGGCAGGGTCCTCATTTCCGAACCAAACGGAAGATGTGGGTGTTCTGCACCCGTGCTGGAACAAACCGACTGTTGGATTTCCAAGCAATGCTCAAATATACAGAAAAGGTGTAACAAGACACTCCAATTCAAAATTTCGAAGTGCAAACAGGCATGACCGAGGCATGACTTTGTCCATACTACATGGCATGTCAAGCGACACCAAACCGCAGCTGCTTTGATTCTGATTACGCCGGCAGGCACGACAATTGTTGCCAACACCCAAACATGTGTCAAACTTGTCATGAGAGAAGTGCAAAAAGAGATACAAAACCCCAAGAGAAACTCCCAGGGACCGGCTGGGGTTTACTGACAGGTGGGCAGAGTTGCGCCCTTTCAATCTTAAGAAATGACACCTGTGATTGCGTACCGCTTTCAGTACGGATTTCTTGCTTTTTCATCCAACAACTGAATCCCGTCGCCAACAACATTTAGCCAGACTCATTTTACTACTTGACATTGCCCTAGCTTTGATCTATCTCTATCTTGGTTGGCCATGTAGATCTCCTACAGGATTCCTGTGATTTTTAAACGCCAGGTGCCCAATTTGAATCAAGCCACACACATCCATGCCATTCCTGTGGGGAACACGAGCACCTGGATGCTGATGGATGTGAAAGCCAGCAAAGCAAAATCTGGAATGCCAGAATGACTAGAACGAATAGAATGACTAGAATGAGTAGAATGAATCCGCCGGCCTGCCGGCGTGTCTTGTGGATCTTGCTTGTTCGTAGTTGTACTGTTTGTTTTGTCTTTGGTCTTTGTCTAGACTTTCCCCTTGGCGCGGATTTTTGCCTCGTCTAACTTGAACCCGCCCCCCCCTCCCGCCCTTCATCATCCGCCTGTCGGGAAACTTGGAATGATCTTCCACACAACTTTAAGGGAGCAAGGCCATCTATGAACCGGAATCCAATGTGAATCATTGCAATGGCTTAGGCGACAATCAAATGATCGTCTGGAACTCTACGGGGTCGGGTCTGCAATCGCCTCCTTTCAACTGACACTTAGAGACCCTGATGACTGTTTGTCAGCGCATTCCAAGTTCATGGACGTGTCCATGCAAAAAGGCGACTGAACTAATGGAACCCTCAAAATCACGAAGGTGCAACGGAAACTAAGCGGGGAAGAGCTTCATGCGGCTCAAGCGTGTTCATGTGGATTTCACTATCCAACATTGTCCAACGGCCTACAGCATGCTACAGCCTGGTTCGCCACATTTCCTCAGTTGAGAGTCCACAGTCATCATGGCAATGATCGCCACAGTCCTGAGCAAAATGAATATCTTGAAACCGCTCAGGCAATGTCTTCAACGGGGGCTAGATTGAAACCTCCCCAACATGAAAGCTGCGATAATCTGCGATATTTGGTTGATTTGACCTTCCTTGGGAGAAAGAGCCTTGCGCCTGTATCAATGGCCAAGATGCCACGCTTGAATTAAGTAGAGCATGGAGATCCACATAAGTAGATCGGTAGGTGGATCAATGGGTAGGTATGGAATGTAAAGACAGGAGCGACATATCCAGGCATGGATGTATTTGGTTATAAATCTCACAGTTCCCATATCTTATCTGATATATGCACCAGTTGAGATGCAACAATATACAATGAAATAGACATACAAACATGAAGGATGCAAAACCGATAGACAAAGAGATAGCAAACAGGTATACGGTATAGGTTGGTAGGTAGATAGCGCAGTAGATAGAGATATGCAAACCACTTGCGAACACTGTCTTCAAGGTTCAGCCCAAGGGCATTGCTGTGACTCGTGACCATGAGATTATCATGAGATGTTGGTCGATGTTGGTTTTGTCAGTTCTGAGTTCATCACCATTTTCCTCACGGCCCAAGTCGGCCCAAGGCACTGAAACCACATAATGGCCAAGCCAACAGAGACCCCCCAAGTCTGTCGAGCTGTTGCCTTGGCGATGGGATGCCATGGGATGCCATGGGATGCCATGGGATGCCACATGGGATCCCACAGCTTCAACGAAGGTAACGAAGGTGTCCCCAGCATTCAGCCGGATCGGGAAGAAAATGCAGCAGAGATCTACAAAGATCCAGCTGAGCTGCGATGGCATCGATTTTTGGATTCATGAAGTAGTAACCACCTGGACACTGGAGAGCTGTGGCACTTTGGCAGTCACGAAGCAAAAAGTGGATCACTTGTGGAGAACTCATGTCAAACATAAGCTTCACATTGCGAGTTCACATGAGTTTCACCTATTCTCAGTATGGTCTGACAAGTTGCAGAGCAAAAAAAGGCAACCACAGCATGGATGCATTCTGAGACTGGAAGCCTGCAAGAAATCTGACATGCTCTTGGGCAAATGTTCAACCATGTTTTGCCTTTTATTTGCATGTAAGACACTTGAGACGTACAAGCACAACATGAAGAAGCATATGTCTTCAGTCAATGAAGAAGAGTCATTTCAAGAGATAGTTCCTCAGATTTAAGACCCATCGAGATATGTCATACTTCCAACTTATAACTTAATTACAACAAAGGTATTCTTTCGGAAAGCCATTCACCCCAGGGCACCTATCAATGCGCAGAAGAACCTAATGACGTCCGACCACCAAGCACGGTGTGATTTGCACAGATGTCACCAATTGTGACATGATGTAGCATGGTATGTGCATCTCAGTGCATCAATTTTGTGCATAGCATGACCTGGTGACAATCTTATCTGCGGTCTCTGGATTTCAGTAAACATCCAGCATTGAACCTTTCAAATGTTATGCTCACCTTCTGCACAAACATCACCGACATGAGGCAATCGGTCAGGGCAGCACAGTTCACATTAGCGCCAAGGAGCAAAGGCACGCAACACCTCAAACAGCAAATTGCCATGCAAATTTCATCACAATATAATTGAATCGTTCAACCCAAATCACATTCCTCACGCGCTGACAACCAAAGCATCTCGACCCTCACCATATCTTGTCCCGCATGTGACGCTACCTATCTGGTTCACTTGTGCTGTGAAGGGCATTGAAGGGCTTCTATTAACTTCTGCGTTCCTACATTCTCTCCACAAAAGTCCAAAGCCAAAACAGTGATCTGGCTGTTAGTCACTTGACCAGTAGAGAAAGAAACGGCACCGTTTTTCTTAACCAGCAGGGGGATGTAGCAGTCCCAGATTGCTGCACAAGACTCCACCACAAAAAGCTTGTAGAGGGGTCGCAGGCTGTGCATTCGCTTCCCGTCCATGTCATTCCTGGTGCTCTGCTTTGTAGGCAGCATACGCAGCATAGTCAAACCATGTCAAACCGGTTTAGCTCCATTTTAGCTCCATACGGGCCGCTGAAAATCACCTTGATATACGAGGCCGGAGCTTGATAATTAGAGTTCACCTCCACCCGACAAACCGCTCCTGTAGGACATTCTGCGCAGATCATTCCTGCATTTGAGGGAGAGGGTCAAGGTTTCTGGGAGGTGGCTCAGGGAACTCGATTCCAAGTTGCTTCCAAAGGTTTCAGGATGTCTCGGGGCTTCAAAAAATTCAACTTGTGAAGGTTGGCATGTTCGCCATTGCCGACCGTTCCCGGCCCCTCACCAAATTGCTGAAACGCTTCAGGCCTACACGACCCCCGCTGCAAACTTCAGGTACGCCACCAGGACAGAACCTGGAATGGCCATGGTTTCATGGCAACACAGAGTCTTGAACAGCCTGACTGCGCAAATGGACAATCTGGAGCGGCATATGTCATACCTGACAGGGGAAACTGAAATGACTGAAATTTTCGGAGGTATATTGGATGGCCATGGCCAAGGATGGCCCCAAGGATGGCCTGTGAGAAAGGAATCAGCATGAGACTGGCCTGAGTATGAAGGGGACACCCTCTACAGATTCACGCCAATCATCTTGAGGTTCATTTCTATGTTGGTTGGTCAAAACCCAAGGTGGTGACTAGATACAATGTGCAGTGTAGTCCACTGAATCAGAAAGGTTAGGCCGAACCCATTGCATCGCACTTGAGTTCAAATCCTGCCATCAATCCACAATCTACAGTGTTTGTATGTACGTGTGAAGTGCAGTCGGACACATCGGAGTCCTACCAGGACTTTGTGCAGCCCAAACTATCCCGGGTTTTGTAGGACTGCCATCCATTGATTCTCACTGCATATCAATATTTACCAGTAGTACCGCACAAGGCGGTGGCGGAAGTTTCAAAAATAGGAAACCTATAGGAGAGGTTGGTTGTTGTGAATCAGGGATGGCAGAGCGAAGCCACTGATGGACTGAAAGGTGCTTGATCTCTCTCACTCTTTCTATCTCTTTCTCTGACTATCTACCTACCTACCTATCTATTTCTATGTATCTATCAATCTATCTATCGATCGATCG